ACATTTTTGCAATTGGCAAGTTGCCTCGTAACTTTAGGCTCCATTAGAAAAATAGTCACATCATAAACGTGCTTGTTATGTCACTTTCTGTGAAGAATTACAGCAACTATAAGACTATAAAACAATATACAAGTTTTGAAGAGAGACAAAGAGATTTTTTTCTGTAACAAAGAGACTGAGTTTGAGTAGAGGGGCTGACAGTTCCTGTTCCAAACCAGGGACTCCCACTGTCCCTCAAACTCCAGTGGACTGAAGACCAGAGCAACAACAGTGGTGACTTATGTTATCAAGAATACCAAATGTCTGTCTGTCTGTTTGCGTATGTGTGCGTGCATATGCATGTGTATAGATGACACATTGTCACAATCCAGGAGATCTGGTGAAATCCTGAAGGGTATCTGTGGTGCGTTAGTTTCTCTCTCTCTCTCTGTCCCTCCCTTTGGGGTAGCGTTATGTACGAATTTTCCTTTTATCTTCAAACAGCGAGCGGACTAGGTAGACCTGGACCGCCGATACCAACATCATAACAATGAGATTTATCACCGACCAAAAGTTCACCCTGTCAAAGTTACTCTCCTGGATGTTTCGATCGCGAGCCTCGAACGCCCGCAGCAGCGTTTGTATCTGCACACTTTTGCCCAGCCGACTCTTCACATTGTTGATGGTGTCCTGGAGGAGAAGAGACACACAGGTCAGATTGACTGAACATAAGAAAACAATAGTTACACATTTCAACTACATTATTCCTCTTGATGCTAAACTAACTTCTTCTTTAGAGGCAAGTTAGCAAACAAAGCAGCTCAATCAGGTGTGTTCCTCCTACCATGAGAAAAGAACTTCCTGCACAGCTGGAAAATACATTTCCTGTCTTTTTAGTGAGCCTTATGTGACTTCTGACACAAATTAGTGTGTTTCTGGTGAGGGGGCAGTGCAGGCCACTGTGGTGCAAGCTAAAAACAATTGGCTGCCCTTAGCCAATAGGTGAGAGTTCATTACATTGTCTATTCTTGTGACACTCTCCTTGTGACTGTGCCTGTAGGCTGTATTGGAGCTTTTAAGTTACTGCTGAATAACCCTTCATGTGATGGACTGGATGCTATTTTATTGGCAGCCAGTTGGGTCACTTTGCACCCCCTATGTCATGCTGTGAGCACACGTGGCACGGTGACAGTTATCTCAAAGGCAGACAGGAGAGGAACAAAGTCTGAAACACCCAGTGAGAATAAAACAAACACAATTTTAATAAGTTCTAACGTCTCAATAGTGACATTAATTCAGACTCAAAGAAAAACATGATACAACAACTCTGGAATGTGTTGCGTGTCAAATGTAATCTTTTCTGAATAACACAACATGTGGTCTGTCTTAGTCTGGCTTCACACTCACCATAATGTCTTCCAGCTTCATGTCCAACATGTCTGTTCCTTGGACATACTCCTTCCAGTCGTCCGGGTCTTCATCTGTATCCATGTTGTCCAGGATCAACTCAAAGAAGATGAGCTTCTCTGAGACAGAACTGAACGTGTTGTCGAAGCAGAACATGTAGTCTCCATCCTCAGTTTCAACACTGGAGGAAAAGCACAGACAGTAAGAGCTTACAAAAGGTATCTGTTTTCAGTAATGTATGTCTCAGATCACCCATGTAACTCACGTGTGCACTCCATCTGACTTGCGGTAGTCACTGAACAGCACATGGCCAGAAGGAGAGGAGATAAAGAAATCTACATCGAGACCTGCTCCATCTAATACCTGTGGACAGTCAAGGACATTCACACATGAGAAGGAAACGCATTAAAAGCAATACTGGCAGTTTGTTTGAGTTGATGCTTTCCTTCAGTGTAGCAGCACTTCATCTCTGTATTAATATATATTTTACATTAATTGTGAAGAATGCTAGTGTTGCCTCTCAAGGTCTCCCTCATGCTCCACTGGAAGCGATAAGCCGGATAACCTTGTCCTCCATGATAGACACTACAATAGACATAGAAAATAGTTGGGATGTCTCCCACAGGCAATAACGTAAGGCAACTTTCTGACATCGCCCAACTTGTAGTCGGTGCACACTGACCGGCCTAACAAGTTCCCAACAATATGAAAATCGAGGTGTGAGCCAAATAACCTGTTGGTTCTCTTGCACAATATATACTAAGACCTAGTAGTATACCTGTGTGGTTTGTACGAATGTTATCTGTAAATGAGAACCACAACAGGCAGAAAACGTGAACAGTAATCATTAAAAAAGGGGATAAGCAACAGGTTTGCCAAGTGTACTGTTATGTCAATGTTGACTCTAGCTTATAGGGTTATCGTTGATTTGGCAGACAGCAGACAGAGATGGCTAGTTTGGGTTTGCTCAGCTATCGTCACAACTTCACCCCAAGATTATCGCAGTTATGAGAGTCTTTATGACCTGATATTCAATCTCCAGAGAGGCATCTTTCTTCATGGTCTGGTAGAAACACTCCTTGCGACCGGCGGGCAGAGTGAATGTGAAGTCGCTGTCCAAAGACTGAGAGTAGGCAGCCAGCACCACACACCTCTCCGAGACTAGAGCGACAAACACGGGCAGGACACACAAAAGTACCCGGACCACCGCCATAGTCAAGCCTGCGTGGCTAAAAGTCCAAAAGAGCTGAAACGGTGTGACAGCAGCTAGGTATTTTATTGGTAAGAGGACAGCGACGCAGCTAGCTACGTCCGCCCAAACTTCACTTCTGTTAAAATGTTCTCAGTACTGACGACTGCCCAAAGTTCAGGACCCCGCCTGTTTAAAATAACTACACATTTGTATTTGTTGCTTTAAACACTGTCGGATCAATTCGCTATTCTAGGTAGATTACTCTGATTGTTTTGCATCGTATTCATCATTCGGTATATTTTATGGACACTTGACACGTGAAGGCAATGTTTGAGGGCTCTTCTCGAGTTGCACTCTGGGATATGTTGTTCTTTTGTTCATGTGGGGTAAACATAATGAATCAAAGAATGTATTACAAAGTATATTTCTTCCTTTTAATAACAAAAGTGTAAATGACTAATATGAGTTACACATATAAATAAGGAAGATGATATTGACAATATATACAGGTATGAAGATGTGTTTTTATTTGGGCAACCTTTTTCTATTCAGTAGAGTCTCATTTGTTACAGACAGAAAACATATTATGGTAATTTAATGAGACTTTAATTTTCATTCCCACTAAATGAAACAAGATGAAGATGAGATGAATGTATGATACAGCCTAATAAAATTGAGCTGCATTGAGCCTTAAGCTTCAATAACAAACGATTGTTCTTGAAATATCTTTTTCAATATTTATTCATTTTTAGCATTATTTTTTACACTAAATGAAGGTGTGTTGCGATGAAGACAAAAGTACACAATGTACACATTGCTTCCAGCATTCACACTTCATCAAGTGATTTGAACTAATACGTCACTGTCTTTACAGAAGCACGTGTATCGATATTAGTCATCGATATTGAACGTTTGACATCAGACGATTGTGCAATAACTTTAAATGTTGCATGCTTTAGAGATTTTATTATCAAGAAAAAGGTGACGCGTCCTGCTCAACGATCTCCAAGTCAGTCTGAGGGGCGGGGCTTTGTCAAATACGGTGTTGCTACGTGTGCTGTGATTGGTCAATAAACGCACAGCTCGGATTTGATTGGTCGGACGTTGGGCAGGGTTGAACTTACCGAGAGGCAGCTGCCCGTCAACAGCACTGGCTACTGAAGCTAAAAAAGAGGAGGACAGGCGGTCTGCACAATGACAATTAGCACACCTCAAGTATAGGTTTTAGGCACAGAACACAGTCGTTTGTTCTTGTGTAATTAAGACAGGCCCTCAGCCAACAAAAAGCTTGTCTTCGGTGTATTGTGTAGCCGTGAGAGATTAGAAAAAACCCCAAAGAGCGAGGATGTTGGTCCCCGCGGGAAGATAATGAAGAGGCTGCGCGTTTTGTTGGTGTGCCTCATTGTAGCTCTCCTGTGCTGGTAAGCTTAGCCCTACATCTCCATCTCCATTCACATTATCAGTGCCGTGTCAGAGCAGTCACAGTGGTAACAATAGGCCAACCACGTTTACTGATAGTTATAGTGTACGCCACTTCACTTTGCGTGGTGTGTTTTGCCGCATTATATCCGTCAGTCATCAGTGTTCAGTGTCATGAGTCCTCCTACACAGCTAACACTGTCAGCTACTTAACGTTACACTGTGCTGGGATGTTTCATTCATATGTAACTCGAAAGAAGAGCCGGGCTATGGTTTTGTCGGTACTTGTCATTACTGGTTGATAAAGTTTGTGTGTATGTGTTTTTTTTAGTGAGTTAGTAGGTTAGTTAGCCATCCAGCTGTTGAATAGCAGCATAGCTAGCTAACCTAAACTCAGTGGGCGCGTTAGTTGTCTGCTGGCTGGTAACGTGGATCTTCACCAAGCTGTGTATCTTTGCTCCTTAAGATTGTGTTTTATAATTTTCGAAACATTTCACTACTCCTCGAAAAAATGCCAATCCAACAATTTGATGTCTAAAAATGTTTGTCTGGGCTACAGATTTGAACCAAGAATGACACAATTTAAAATCAAATTAATTAAAGTAAAGAAAACTAAGCATTTCTCTGCTTTTGTGATTTTTTTTTTTTGGGGGGGGGTATTTCAAGCCTAATTAATACATTTTAAAAACAAATAATGATTAAATAAGTGGTGGTCAAAATGATCTTCTATGAATTGATCAATAAGTGTAGATACTCTAGTCTACAGTCTGTATAAAGGTGAAAACACAGTGTCAAAAACTACTTCAACATCATTATACTTGTACAGATGTAACATTCTGTTATTACATTCAACTAGGTAAATAACCTGCACTATATAACGCATGGTGTTTGTGTAGGTCCTCTCCAAAGTACATGCACGCAGTTGTGACATCTGGTAGATTAACACAACTCATGAATTTGTTTAATCTCAGAGGCACGGAGCAGGTAACAATACGCAGGGTTTGTGAAATGGGATTAACAGGGCAGCTAACATGCCACCTTTATCCAGATTGGTGACTCAGGAGCAGCAAACCATTCAGTGTACGGCCTGCAGGCTGCTTCTTTCTCCACCGGTCATTTGTTTGTGAAATTTGCTGTCACTTGACTAATCTCTTGACAATATACTTGAAGAGGGTTGCATGATTTTGTTGTTTGGGAGAATAATAATAATAATCTTATAATAATTAGTTGAAAGAATAAATACAAGCCACATACAATTATTATTTGTAGAAAGTAACGTTTCAACATCCAACAACTTCCAAATACGTAATACTCTTACTTTAGATGTGTAATTACTTTCATTATAATGTTTTCAGGAAATGATTTTGTGATACTGGTGTTACCAGTAAAGTACAGTGCAGTGCCAACAATGGTCCTGTAGTGGTAACACCAGTTGTAATGATCATATTCCTTTCATTTTACTTGACGTCTCTGATAATAATAGTCCTCTGATAATTCCTCCTCCCTGTTTCCTCATAGCATCAGAAACAGAGCATAACGAGGATAAGCCTTATGTAATTCCCTCATCAATAAGTAAAACTTACTAAAGTTAAACCCTCACTCAGACTATGATAAATCTACTTCTTAGTCTCTGTAACCCTTGCTCCTTTTTGCTGACGAATAATCATATTCCCATAGATTAGATATTCTCTTATTTCTAAAAGAGTTCAGGTGTTGCTCAGATAAGATTTAGTATACTTTTTCATCTTTATAGCAGGCAAGCAAAGCAGAAAGAAATTCAAGAAAAAGGTAGAAGGTAGGCAGAACAGGGTGCTGTTCTCTGCCTCCTGAAGTCCTGTGGAACAGGGATACTGACTGAGGAATCAACATATTTCTAGTTGGTTATTTAAATTGAAGCAAGGTCCAAGGGAATATTGAATTATAGATTTAATTCACGAATGAGACCGCCTTTCCTGGTAACAACTAGATTTGATTACAGCCTTACACGTCAGGTGTTTGCTTGCGTAAAACCTTGGGACACGTTTTCACTTTCCCACAAACGGACTAATGACCATGCAACCCCACGCACAGACTTCATTACTAATGCAAACCCCTTTTAGTGTGCTGCTGTCAGCTTCTCGCTCCTCTGTGCCAACTCTCACACGTCCCAGTGGGAACAGAGAAATGGGGTATGCAGTCCTTGCAGTAATCCAAAGGTTTCCAAGGCAGCAGTAATTTTAAGCAGGAAGGGGCTCTGTATTAGGACAAGAGACTGTGGGGGGGCATCGTTCTCTCGTTGTGATTCAGTTGCTGTGCGAAAGGGCTAATGTTAAGATTTCTGGTTCAGATTCCATGTTTTTCTTTGTAATGTGACGCCTCGTCCTCTGTATGTTACTGTGAGACTGCTGTAGCTGCTCAGCAAAGAGATCTCTCTGCTGCAGTGCTCAGAAAGGCACAGCAGAATGTACTGTGTGTGTGCCGTGCTGCCCCTTCACTCACGTAGTCAGCAACAGGGATCTTACTGTGTGCTCGCGCAGCCTGTTGACATCAGCATCGGTGGAGAAAGTTTACATGTTTGCGTGATGGTGCACATTCCCGGCCAGGTTGATTGTTAGTAATCATAGTTTTCCTCCCACATGTATTTTCTCCTGTTTAGATCTGAAGTTTAGTGCCCAGACGTTGGCTGAGCGTGGTGTGTCAGCACTCCTCTGTGTAGTAACACAACTCTGATTGCAGGTTATGAACCGATATAGCTCGCCGTTGGACTTTCTGTCAAACAGCTGGCATCGGTCCGTTAATTGTATTTTCTGTAAAACTACCCGAGAGGCGAAATGAACGATTATTGCATTTATGCAGGAGTACTTCTTGCCATCAACTCGTTGGGTCCCTGTGTCATAGGCTTATTGGTTTCACAGCCATTTGAAGATTATTGTTATTATGTAACGTGATTAGCACTCATGAGATAATTCTGCAGCCAATTGACCAACTGGGGATTTTATATTGTATTTCATTAGAGTGCAGATTCGCTCTAATCATCTGTAGCATAACAAAACTAGCTATCTGAAAAATGAATGTTGTCCACTCAGTGCTGTTGAATTTTAAATCTGCTGACTCACATGATTATTGTTTAATTTAGTGTTTGTGCTGATGACTAGTCTTTTATGTAATTAAATGCCTTTGATGCCGGTGTGCCTTTGTTTCTGCTTTTTACTCACAAAGGGGTGTTTGTGCTTATATGTTTTGACAGCAGCCCAGTAAGAGGACACCTTGTCCAACTTGTTTCCATTGCTAGATAATCTATAGGCTGACATGGTCTATAGGGGCTTTCACTTGCCCTTTGTTGCTAGATCAGAGTTTTCCGACTCACTGCATCAGTTCTTGAGCAATCTGGTGTGTAAACCTCTGTTTTACAGCAGAGGTACTTCGGCTATGAAAAAAAACAGCCAAAAGAAGGTTCACAATGACATAGCAGACAATTAGAGTATGTATTGTCTAATATTGCATCAGGTTTAAAAATATTTCTTGACTGTGTGCTCCTTCATCTGAACGGTGTCCACTCTAACTTTGTCAAAGGCAATGTGAGCACTATATAAACAAGGAAGCCGCGGTAAAGCGAGAGGACCCTCTCGTTAAAAGAACTATGTGTTCTGCCCACATCGTAAAAGTTCCCTTTTTGGGGCAGTTGTTGCATAAGTAGATCCTCCCTGTGTTGCCCACGTGTATCAGTGGCCAGGGAGCCTGTTGTCACGGATAGAACTGCTTGTATTC